CCCGAAAGGGTACGCGATGCATTGTAGAGCACGGCATGGCATGGCGTAGAAGAGCACCGCAAAGCGTAGTATGTCACAGCATGGCGTGGCGTGGCGTAGTGAAGAATTGCATCACAAAGCTTTGCAACGCAAAGCATGGCATCGCACAGCGGCCCCGAACATAACATTGCATAGCATGGCGTTGAAGATCAAAGCGTAGCATGGCATAGCACGACGTGGCACTTAAGCACTGCATATCACAGCTTCAGCTGAAGGCATGGCATCGCGCAGCGGAACGCAACCTAGCATTGCATTGCATGCCGTGGCATGGCACGGGAAATGACGCCAGCGCTGCAGCGGGAGCACGATTCGGAACGAGCGGAAGCGCGGAAATGAGGCCAACGCTGCAGCGGGAGCACGATTCGGAACGAGCGGAAGCACGGAAATGAGGCCAGCGCTGCAGCGGGAGCACGATTCGGAACGAGCGGGGCCCGAAAATGAGGCCGGCGCCTCAGCGAGAGCAGCATTTTGAAAAAAATGCAAGCGAAAACCCAACTCCGGGGAATCCTGTGTGTAAAAAAAATACGCGGGGGGGGGGCGAACAATCCCAACCCGTCATGAGGGGAAGGAGGAGAGTAGTATTCATATTGAGTAATTGTGGAGGGGGGGAAGGGGGGAGGAGGAGGAGGAGGGGGAGGACGAGGAGGGGGAGCGGAGGAGGAGGAGGGGGAGGAGGAGGAGGGAGGAGGAGGAGGAGGAGGAGGAGGAGGGAGGAGGAGGAGGGAGGAGGAGGAGGAGGAGGAGGAGGCGGAGGCGGAGGAGGAGGAGGAGGAGGAGGAGGGGGAGGGGGAGGAGGAGGGGGAGGAGGAGGAGGAGGAGGAGGAGGAGGAGGAGGAGGAGGAGGAGGAGGAGGAGGACGAGGAGGAGGGGGAGGAGGAGGGGGAGGAGGGGGAGGGGGAGGAGGAGGGGGAGGAGGAGAGAGGAGGAGGACGGGTCGCCGAAGCCCTTCGGAGAAACCCTGGTGGCAGGCTTCGTGGGGTTTTCGCGTGGACAAGAAATCTGGGGCCCGAGCCTGGGACATATACGATAGGGGGGGCGTCCATCCCCGACAAGGCGTGCGTCCGAATAGCCCCTCTCGGGGCACATATCCCAGGGTTTCCCCCTCTCTCTGAGCGGCCAAACTGTTCGGGCGGAGCTCGGGGCGGGGGCAGAAAAAGTCGCCTGCGACGGCCGCCGTGCTGCCGACCGCGAGGAGCGAGGCGCAAGAAACGGAAGGGCGCCTCCTGCCACAGCGGGCCTCGGGCACGAGCGTAGGCCTAGGTCGGGCCTGTCCTCCTACAGGGGGGATTTTGGACGAAAGGCAACAAATACCCAACAAATGCTCAAACGTTGTCAAGCAGATATTCAAAAAATCGTCCCGTGACTATTTTAAAACTATTTTGAATATCCCCCCTGTAGAGGGACAGGCCCGACTGAAGCGCAGGTTACCCGGCCCGTGTCTCAGGAGCGGCCCGAGAACCAGGGCACGGTGGTAGACCCGGAGGGGCCCTTGCTTCGGCAGCTTGACCTGGCACGCCCGGAGGGGGGGGACGGAAAAACATGGCAGAATGCCCAATAGCACATGTCGCCCAACACCTGCTAGACCCAGAGTGGCCCTTACTTCAGCATCTTGACCTGGCACGCCCGAAGGGGGGACGGAAAAGCACGGTAGAATGCCCAATAGCACGTGTCGCCCAAAACCAACAGCAGCCGCTGTTCGGAAGACGACTTTCTGCATTCACATGGGCGACGATCAAAACGGGCCTTACGCGAGATGCCACAGCGACCTTACCCGGTGGGCTCCGCGGGCAGGCTACGCTTGAAGCGAGGGCGCTTACGCGCGACCTTGCGCAGGCAGCTTACGCGCCCAGTGTCGGCGCGCGCCAATGTCGGCGAAGACGACCCCGTTCTTTGGCGTCGCCCACATACATGGGTACGGAAACAGTGGGTGCGAAAACCAATTTCAGTTTGATTACCCAAACCCCTGACCCTCTGGGAGGGGACCTAAGCCAGGAGGGCCAAAGTCATTTGGGACAGGGGGTCTTTTCTGCAGATGTGCCAGACCAAATCGGCCAGATGTACTGTCCCCAATGCAAGCAAGGACGGGGACCTCAGTGAGGCCACGTCTTCATCGTTTTACTTAGAGGTCAAAACATCCGCCCCCAGAATAACCACCCCGACACGAGATGTCGTGTAGTAAACGCGCCCCAAGAAGGAATCAGACAGGGCAGGGCTGTTCAGTCAACGCCCAGGGCCGTTTAGTAAACGCCAGAATGGTCTGGTCCGGGTGGTTTTTCCTCCCTGGACTGCTGGGGTGAGGGGCTCTTTTTGAACAGGGCTCGCTGTCACTGCCGGATCCTGGGCACTGTTGGACGCAGAGGCCAGGCAACAGCCAGGACCGGCGCCAGGCGCGCAGCCGGCGCCGTCCGCGCACCCTCCGGGGCACGGACGCGGGTCATCCAAAAACGGCCGCGCGCGGCGTCCCATCCCGCCGCGGGTCGCCGACGTCACCTCGGCGGCGAGCCCGCGGAGGGGGGGGGCAGCTTACGTGTTCGATGATGGGCCCCCTGCTGCCCACCAGCCCTGGGTGGTCGTCGGTGACCTTCTGCGGCCGTCTGGCGGTCTTCGGCGGTCTTCGGCGGTCTTCTGCGGTCTTCGGACGGTCTTCGGCGGCCTTCGGCGGTTTCTGGTGGTCTCCTGCGGTGTTCAGCGCGAAAGCTGGGCAGCTGCGGTCAACACAGGGCCCACGATCGAACACCTCAGGAGGCGAGGAAGGGGGCGGGCCTTCTCAGAGGCTCGGAAGTCGCACGAGAAGTGTCCGAAGACTTACCCGAAGACGCGGAAGAAGACTCCCGAGAAGTCCGGAGGGGGCCTCTAAGAAGTTCCGCCGCCTTCCGAGAAGGCCTTCCCGTAGGTCGGGCGTGTCCTCCTATAGGCAGATTTGGGACGAATAATCTGAACAGCGCAAAAAAATACCCCAAAAATATTCAACTGCATAAAAATATCCCCACAAGACATGACTGTTCCTCCTGTATGTTCCTTGGCGAGCGCATTCCATTCTTCCATCCCATGTATTCATAAACATAGTACATGGGTAATGGAAATATGGATAGGGCCATCCTCGTACAGACAGATAATACTCTTCCACTACCCATTCCATTTTCACCGTCCATCCTCGCCAGGGTACCGCTGAATGGTACCACGATGAATGCGTGCTCGCAAAATACTTTGACTATCCTTGAATGTCCCTCCTGTAGATCGGGAGCGGCCAAGAGGGGGTGTCCAAGAGGGGGGGGGGGGGGGGCAAAACCATGACCGGCGGCATGTGCGCGGCCCCGCGGGGGGGGCCAGGGACGCCATGAAACGAGAAGAGGCGCCGTGAGACCCGGAAAACCACCCTCGTGGCGCACGCCGTGGTGGCCACCCCCCCCCTGGTCGTCCCCCCCCCCTCTCTGCCGCCCCCGAGCAGAGGGGACGCGCCCGACTCGCGCCCGCCCCCCCCCCGGCGCGCCGCCGACCACTGGCTGCCGGACCGACCGCGGCGGCGCGCGGCGGACCCCCGACCGCCCCCCTTGCGAGGGTCGGAGAGGCGAAGGAGGCCCGAGCGTCCGGCGCCCCGCGCGGCCCTTTTGGGGGCACGCCCTCCTGCAGGCGGACCTCGGGCGACACACTCATCGGAGGAGCAGAAGTAGGAGGAGCAGGGGGAGGAGGAGGAGGAGGAGGAGGAGGAGGAGGAGGAGGAGGAGGAGGAGGAGGAGGAGGAGGAGGAGGAGGGGGGAGGAGGAGGAGGAGGAGGAGGAGGAGGAGGAGGGAGGAGGAGGAGGAGGAGGAGGGGGGGGAGGAGGAGGAGGAGGAGAAAGGAGGAAGAGCAGGAGGGCGGGGGCGGCCAAGAGGGGGGTGTCCAAGAGGGGGGGGTGCACAGCATGACCGGCGGCATGTGCGCGGCCCAGCGGGGAGGCCAGGGACGCAATGGAATAAGAAGGGGCGCCGTGAGATCTGGGGAAATATCATGGCCCACGCCATGATTTCCACCCCCCCCTTGTCATCACCCCCCTCTTTTCAGCCCCCGACGTAAAAATAGTCCAACAATAATCACAGAGGGTTCAAAAATACTAGAAAAAACGTCCCCATGCTATTTGGTCCCCCCGCAGAGGAACATGCCCGACTGAAGCACGGGAAGGGGGATGCATCGACCCCCAGTCGCCCATGGATCGCCGATAGAGACCCACTAGCCCCATCCCCCGGGAAGGTGCGGATTCCCTACACGGGGGGCCTACATCGCCGATCTGTCGACGAGGCATCGCCGATTCCAGGTCGGTGCACCCGTCCTGTGCCTATCCCCCCCTTACGTTGGGCATGTCCTCCTACAAATTTCCTTCCGACGAAAAATTAAAAATAGTCCAGCAAGAAATACTCAAACATGGTTTGGAAATGCTCAAGAGGAATCGTCCCCAGACTATTTTGCGACTATTTTTGAATGCTCCTCCTGTAGAGGGACGTGCCCGACTTGACCCTTATCGTTGCCCCTCAGGCTCTCTCGGATCAGCGCTGGACGCCCTTCCTGGCGCGCCGAGGGCACCAGGGGGGCAAAGCACCGCTGCAAGAAGAGCGCGCGGGGCTCCGAACGTGCACCGTCAACCCCCATATAGGAAGAATACATCGGGCGTTGGCAGAACTGGGTTTAGTGGAATGGCTTAGTGATGTGCACTGGGGGAGGCCCCCCCCGCCCCGTTCCACTGACCGGAACTGCCGTCACCCGAAAAACAGCAGCTACGGCAGACATGGTTTAGTGATTCCGGCCGATTCAAGGGCCCAGGGGCCCTACCACTAACCGGGTCCCCTTACCTGGGGTCCTGGCTATACCCGAACAAAGGACGCACGATGAGGATGCCAAGGCCCTGGAAGGCCATGCCGGCTCTTTGCGAGCGGGGCGCGGCCAGCGAAGGCGGCCAAGGATGGGCCGAAGGGGGGGGGATGCAAGGGCACTCCGAATTTCATGATGGAAGGGGGGGTCTGGCTTGAGCTCTTGGAGGGTTGCGCGGGGTCTGGGCAAAAGGCCGCCCTTTCATGGCTGGTCTGGGGGGGGGGGTCTAAAACTCCTCATCAGAGAGGGTTGTGCTCCCCTCTCTTTCCGTACGAAATGTAAAACAAACTCGGAAAGTTGCTCATCAACTACACGTAAGAGTGACCCTGGGTAAGAGTGACCTTTGGTGCGCGGTTTTTGGGGGGCCGCGGGGGGGTCATACGCAAGCGCGCAAAACACGACACGATCAACGCACCGCGCTCGGCGATCGGGAGACTCCAGTGGGCCCGCACCAGAGGTCACTCGGGCGAAGGGTCTCCCGTACGTGTAGCCGAGCTCGTCCCTACTGTGCGGGGTTGACTGTATCACTCGCCATCGCTCGGACGCCCATTCCTTGCGCATTGCTTTCGCAAGGGGGGCCCCAAATGCTCCTCGATGGTCCCCGCCGAGAAGACTGCCCACGCCCGAGCGATGCCAAGGTACTGCGCCTGTGCCACTGCTTCTCCTTCGGCTCTCCGTGGTCCAGCCGGCAAGCAGGCCCGACGGGCGGGGGCCCGGCGCATTGGGCCGCGAACGCCGCCGCTCTTCCCCTGCCTCTGGCATGAGCGCCTCTCGGAGCCGCCCCCCCTGCAGAAAAGCGAAGCAGCTGCAGGCGTCGTGCTGCAGTGCAGTCGGACCGAGGTGTGTTCGGCCCCTGGGGCCACGAAACGTGCGAAGGGCGTGCCGAAGCGGGGAAGCGGGGTGAGGGGAGGAGGCAGGGGGCAGCGGGAGGATGAGGAGGCGCGAGGGGTGCTGTCTCTGCAGAACGAGGACCCAACACAAACAGAATTGGGACAAAAAATATCCTGGCGAAGGGGTCAATCAGATGCACTTGTGAGTATCGCTGGTGTGGGAATCGCCTTCAGTGGATATCCTCATGGGGCCACGAAGCGTGGGACGGGGGCGCATGCGGGCGCAGCCATTGGGCCTTCGATGGCGCTCCAGATGGGGCCACGAAACGTGTGAGATGTGTGCCGAAATGGAGTGGGGCCGCCATGCGATCGTCGCCGCTGGAACTTTCGGGTGGGCCCCGCTATGGGGCCACGGAACGTGGGAGGGGTATGCCGAAATGTGCGAGGGAGGACGCATGCGAACATCGCCACTAGGGTCTTCGGTGGGGCTCCGCATGAGGCCACGAAACGCGTGAGGGGTATACCGAAATTGGCGGGGGGAAACGCATTTGAACACAGCCACTGCGGCCTTCGGTGGAGCTCCCCAATGGGCCACGAAACGCCGTACTGGGCGGCGCGGGACGCATGAGGTCACAGCCACTGGGACCTTCCGTGGAGTTCCCCGAGGGACCACGAAACGCCGTACTGGGACGCATGCTGCCACAGCTACTGGGGAGTGCGGTGGAGCTCCATATGGGGCCACGAAACGCCGTACTGGGTTGCGGGTGACGCATGTGATCACAGCCTCTGGTGCCCTCGGTGGAGCTCCCTGTTGGGGCCACGCAACGCAATACAGGGTGGCGTGGGACGCATGGAGCCGTACTGAATGGCGCGGGACGCATGTGGTCACAGCCACTAGGACCTTCGATGGAGCTCCCTATGCAGCCACGAAACACCGTACTGGGTGGCGTGGGACGCATGTGGTCACAGCCGCTGGGGCATTCGGCGGAGCTCCCAATCGGGCAACGAAACGCCGCACTGGATGGCGCGGAACGCATGTGACCACAGCCACTGGGGCCATCGGTGGAGCCCCTTGTGGGGCCACGAAACGCCGCACTGGGTGGCGCGGAACGCATGTGGGCACAGGCACTGCAGCCTTCGGTGGAGCCCCCTGCGGGGCCACGAACGCGTACTGGATGGCGAGGGACGCATGTGGTCACAGCCGCTGGGGCCTTCGGTGGAGCTTCCTGGGGGGCCACGAAACGCCGCACTGGGCGGCACGGGACGCTGCGCTTTTGCTGTCTCCCCTAAGGGGCAACGATCGGGGGATGTGCATAGGAGGGTGCATCGACCTCGAATAGCCGATACATCGGCCCATGCATCGTCGATACATCGTCGATGCAGACCGCCCAATGTATCGTCGATACATCGTCGACACATCGCCCTAATGTAAGCAATGAATCGTCGATGCATCAAGCACTCAAAGCCGATGCATCCCCTCCTATGCCTAGTTGTCCCCTCCTATTGTTGCACCCGAGCCCCTCCCCCGAGAACAGCGCGGCGCAGTTCTCCCGTGGGAGGTGGCCGCCGCGCGCGCGCTCACTGCGCGCCAGTCACGAGCTCCGTGTCCAGCAGAAGCATGGCCATCTTGCCCGCCTTGCCTGTGCCCTGGGCCTGGCCACATCAGCCAGCACCGAATCGACAATTCGGATCGAACCGGAAGGTGCGTCGGATCGGACCACATCGGCACGGAGTCGAAATCGAATCGGATCGGCTGCACCAGGATGCACAACAACGCCATGCGAGCGTCGGATCGCATCGGATCGGCGGAACATCGACGTCGAATCGGATCGACCTGGTCGAAGTCGATATCGAATCAGACCGATCGGCTCGAAATGGACCTCGGCCTGGGGGGCGTTGGCACCCCAGACGTGCTCCCGTCGTGAAACAAAGCACGACGGGCAATTGTTGGTCGGTTTCGGCCTCCAGGGCCCTCGCCAGGCCCTGGACCGTCAACGGCTCGGAATGAAAAAGCGGCCCTGGGGAAAGGATCGGGACTTCCGGGGACAGCGCATGGAAAGAATCCGGACATCGCATGTCTGGGTGCAGCGGTGATCTCGCAGCTGCTGCTGACAGGCTCGCAGAACTTGACGCGCTGACACAACAAGGACAATGGCTTTCTCATGAGCTGTGCCGTGCACCGCGGCACTGGCATTAGGTCGGGCATGTTCTCCTACAGGTGGATTTTGGACGAAGAATAAAAGATGGTCAAGAAGTATTCCGAAATGGCTAAACATACTCAAACAATTCGCCCCCAGACTTTTTTCGGCCTACTTGCGAATATTCCTCCTGTAGAGCGACAGGCCCCGCTTAACACTGGCAGCGCCTCGCTCGGCCGCACACGGACGGCCAGCGTGAGAGCCCAGGGCGAGTGACCACGGGCGCCTTGTAGGCATGCTTCAATCTCTCTATCGTGTACATCTTCAGCTGGCCCATCTTCTCCGACGTCTTGTCCTGCCGCTGGGCATCGCTCGGACGTCCACTCCCTGTGCCTTTTTCGATTTCGTGCGCGGCTTTTTCGCCAAATGGTCAAGGATGCTCCTCGATGGTCCTCGCCGAAAGAAAAATGCACACGTCCGTTATGTTGCATCCTCGGGGGACCTTGTCTGTCCCGTCGCGGAATCCATGTCGGACGCGTCGGATCCGTGTCGAATCCGCGTCGAATCCGCGTCGAATCCACGCCATATCCGCGTCGAGTCCGCATCGAGCACGCGCCGGGCCCCCCAAAAGACACCAATGTTTGGGACAGGCGAGGTCCCCCGAAGCTGCAGCAGAACGTCCGAGCGCTGCCAAGGCCACGGGGAGAGCGCGCGAGGGCCGGCCGTCGGAGGGCGCCGGGCGAGCGCGGAGGCTGCCGCCAGGCAGCTCGCCAGGGCGCTGCCCGGGTCAAGCAGCCCAGGACCGCCCGCACGGTGCAGCACCGTGCAGCTCGGACACAAGGAAATCGACGACGAACGAGGAGGATTGCAGGATTACAGTCATAGCGACGCCAGGCAGTTTCCCGCCAGCGCACTGCGATCAGGGGCCCACGGCACGGCCACTGAGGCCAGCCTCTCAGGACCCTGAACAACTAGAAGGGCACCTTCGAGACAGGATGTTTGCCCTCCAGGATGAGATCTAGGGCAGCTCTGGCCCCTAGGGAGGAGTCTCGGGGGAGCTGGGGATGATCCGTCCGACCCGCATGTCACCGCATCGCTCCGAAGGAAGAGTCGATCTGCTCCGCCTCCTCCCCGGAACGACCTCGGGGTCCGACCCTGCGATTCCCTGAAGCCTCCTGGGGCCGATGGGGCGACGAACTCTACACATATCCACCGCCTCTGGCCAGGCCAATCCAGGGTCCAGAATCGGTGTACACAACTCCCTGCTTTGGCCAGGGGAACATACACCGGTCCTGGCCCCAAGATGGGCCTGGCCAGGGGGGGTGATATATATATATATATATATACACATAGATATATATTCATATATATATATATATAGATCTCGTCGCCCTACGAGCCTCCTGGAGCCTCATGGAGACGCCTTGGGCCTCCTCGAGCCTCCAGGGAAAGGAGTAGGAGCAGGAGGAGGACAAGGGAAAACCGAGGATGCATGAACGGCGCTGTAATACAGAGGGCAGAAGGACCACCCTTATAATAAGCGCTCCTGCAAGCGAAATCCCTTCAACAGACGCACCTGATGAAAACATCTCACAGGAGCCAGACTGTCCAGTAAACACCCAGGACTGGTCATTGAACGCAACTTATGGGGCGGGGTGGTTATTCCTCTCTTCACGTAACCCTACGTGGCGACATCCGAAACGTACCCCCACTATCCATCGATTAACCTGAGTCGATGGGAGGCCTTGGCAGGGCTCAGTTCGGCGGATTCCGAACCCGACCCCTCCCGCGCATCGAGTTGCCTGAATCATGGATCGGCGAGGATAGGGTTCGGAGTTCGCCGCCGAGCTGTTGCGCACTTAGCACTTCTGGCCAGCAAACTCCAGGGCAGTCTCAAGCAAGACCTCCATGTTGCACAGGACCCGCCTCCGCACGCGATGTTGCAGCATGGTCTGACATGTGGCCAGAACATGTGTCTAACATCGAGACAGGGCCTAATTTTGAAAAGGAATTGCCCTGAATCGATGCAGTTGTCCTGAATTCACTGAAATTGTGGGAAGCCTGTTAGACAAATGCGCGCGGCGCCGAAGCGAGGGCCACAGTTTGAAAAATGGCAGCCCTCCATCCGAATCACAGTTGGAAATTGTACCGCGCGACAGGATCACAAGGGCACGCGGTCAGGATGCGAGGACCTTGGACGCCCAAACTGAAGCCGGTTGGGCGTAAATGCCCATTGATACAGAGAAGCTGGAAAAAACGGAGGTCAATGAAAGTGAAGTGGCCAGAGCCAGAAACTGGCAGGAGCTGACAAGAACCGAAACTATTGAGGATGAGGTCGCCAGGGCTGGAAGAAGTGGAGGGAGACCGGCCAGGGCCAGAAAGAGTGGAAGGGCTGGCCCCCAAGCCACGTTTTGCAGCTTCCCTGCAAAGCCTAGGAACGGACGAATGGGGCGAAAACGCAGGGACGAGAGGACTCCGCCTTGAAACCTGCGCACGCACCTCTTGCGCGCCAGTGCTGCTGTAAGACGACTGTGCGCGGCGCTCGGCCGCCGTCGACGCTCTGACGCACGGCCGCCCTCCAGACGCGCAGCCGCCAGGAGACCCTGGCCTCAAATTCGAAGACGGCGAGAGAGACGACCCTGGACAGATCGCCGAGACTGCCCCGCTGGCATAAACAGATCCCCCTGGTTTCCCATCTTCTTTGGATGTTCGTCTTCCCCCCCCCCCACACTTCCCAGATGTTCCCACAATTTCTGGGGAAACGGCGATTCATTGTGTCTGTGTGTGTTCCTTCCCTCCTGAAGGACGCTGGCATCAGAACGCCTGTCCCAGGGCGCTGGGCAGCTTCTACCCCCACCGGCCACCGCGGGGGCATACACTTCCCAGCCGCCGTGGGACGGGCGTCCCCGATAGACGACGGAAGTATCTTCTGCCGCCCTTCGCCCGCTGAAGATGGCACGGCGGGGAGGACGCATCGGAGGGAAGTGGGATGGAGGGGGGGTGAGGGGTCGGGGCGGACACAAAGGAGTGCTACCAAATGGGGGGAGGGGAACAAATCCGCGCACGCAATGGATTCTCCAGGCGCTGAAGGCGTTCCCAGCGGCGGGGCCGACATCAGCTGCATGTAGTAGACTTCGTACCCACCCACTGTTTGGCGGCGCGCACAAGGGGGTAGGGGAAGGGGGGAAGGCTCCTTTTTGAAGGAGGCTGCTGTTTGGAGGGTGCCAGCTCTACATTTATAGGCAAGGCCCGCGCCTTCTCAGAAGCAGAGGTGCTTCTGAGAAGCCCTCCCCTCTCCCAATACCTCCATCTGCGCGTAGCTGACCGTCCCAATCTGCCCCCCCTTTCTCCCGACCCGAGATGGGAGGGGCAGCCACCCTGACCGCCTACCAGACCACCACAGCCAATCCCGAAGACCCAGATTTCGGGTTGGGGGGGGGTACGGTTTCTCCGTGTGCTTTTTCAATTCCCCCGACGTCCATCCCCACTGGGAATAGAGGGCGACTTGGGGACTTCGGGTTCGGCTGGGGTGGTTGTTGGCGACGCGCACGAGTTGAGCAGGGACCAACCGTCCTGGCATTCCGATAGGCCTACCACGAAATGTTCTAAGAACCCAAAAATGTTCAAATAACAAAATCAGTATTCATGAGCCCGATGTGTTAAAGCAAAACGATATCGGCCAGAAATGTTCTCATAATATTTCGAGCAGACCACACAACCTTACTAGAACTTTCTTTGGTGGGCCTTCAGGCGAGCCAGGACGCCTCGCCACTGCTCGAAGGGGGGGGAAGGCTTCTTATCGGCGGCATCGATAAGGGCGAATAGCACAGGGGTGGGCATTGCACATATTCGCCCGGGAGCCGTTTCGAAGACACAGATCATCGGCGCACCTGAATACATGTATTGCTATCCCCTGGGCTATTCCCCCCTCATTGTCGCCTCTGATCTTAGAAGACGGCTGCCTCTCAAGGGCGCCGGCCGCCCTTCTACGAAGCCAGGGGCGCGCCTCTCCTCGGAGGCACCCCGGCAGCTTCGCAGAAGCACGGGGCGGCCTAGTTACAGTCGGGGCGTTGACCTAAGGAACCCTAAATAAGGAACGGGGCCCCTTTCTCCCATACGCTGAACTTCGATTGCCCATGGAGAACCTCAGGAAAACTGAAGGCAAACTGCAGAACCATCAAGGAACGCCGAGCCCCTCTCCAACGAAAAGGGTTCCTTCTTCAGGGCCCCGACTGTAGTAGAAGCAGGAGCAGCTCCCCAGAAGCAGACCACCTGCTTCTCAGAAGCACGCCAGGACCAGCTTCTGAAGACGCAGCCGCAAGCTTCTCGGAGGGGGCGCCCGCGCCCTCTGAGCAGGGGGGGGGATGCTCCTGAGGAGCCTTGCCCCCTCCAGCAATCCCCCCTCTGTGCGTGGCCGAGGCTTGGCACTCAGACCTGCAGGACGGAGGGCGGGGACGGGCAGGGCGGCCACGGCGCTCTGCAGGAACTTTGGTGAGGGGGGGCCCAGGGGCACACAGAGAAAGAAAGAAACACAGATCCCAGGACTTAACTACAACATCCCACAAATCATTTCGAGCACCCGGAAAAGTGTCATAAAGAGTGTCGCATCGGTGTCGGACGAGTGTGTCTCCCAGGGCTCGACGCGTGAAA